TATGCTAATGAGTTATGCTAATAAGTTCCCCTTGCTCTTTTTCTACGAAACGACCCCTTCAAGGAAGACTCTGCAGAGGAAGGCAATGGCAAACCACCTCTGCTTCTCATTTGCCTTGAAAGCCCCTTGCTGGGGTTGCCATAAGTCGGCTGGGACTTGATGGCACCTCTGTTCCTGATACACTCTGCATTATATAAAGAATGAAGCCTACTATCCAGGAAAAATAAAGCTCTTTAACCATATTTTACTGCTGTGTTGAAACCACTGGTGCTTCAAAGTCCTTATCTTAGACTGACTCATACACAGGTTTTAAAGCAACTTAAGTTTCTTACTGGCATGATCTCTTGGGGAGGGGTATGTTTTCCACATATACATCCCAGTGTGTTCTACAAAGTAAAAGCATTTTATGAGTACCCAGTTCTACTCAGATGGAGAGTGCTGGTTTTAAAAGATGTTTGGGGGGACAAATTGTTGGGAATGGGGGAAAAGAGATCACACAGATTGGCATAATTCAAGGGCATCTTCTACTACCCTAGCACTGCAAACAGGTTACATGGTACTATACCCAAGGAAATGTACAGAAATCAATTGTCACTCTTGTCATTAGTCTGATACTTCTCCTGCCTGTACAGTACATCCCATTGATCCCAATGGGGTACAAAGACAGCGCTAAGAATTAGTAAGTGTGCCATTGAAATTAATGTAGTATAAACAGCTGGCTGTTCACTTGTGGCCTCCTGATCAAGTAGGACAAGGCATGCCTATTTTTCAGATTGTACCAAGAGATACCACAGGTCCTCAGACAAAGATTCCCTCTGTCCCCACTCCCAGTTTTAGAGAAAGTGTGTGTGTACATGTGTGTGTGTGAGAGAGAGAACTTAACAACACTTAATGAAACAGAAGACGTCTCTGTAGGAACACTGATTCTCTCACTTTAACCCTTTGCCTAACTGGAAAAAAACTTAAGCAGGTATTCTCCTGCAGCAGCAAGACAGTACTTGCTACAATTTCAAATCCAGCAAAGCTTTACGGGAGCAATTTTGAATTCTTAGAAAACCCTCTAGCTGTCACTGAAGTCCCAAGATGGACAGGCATCATACAAATTGGTGTCCCTTCCTTTTGTAGTGACACAAAATGAGGCAGGTAGACTGTCTGGGTTCTCAGGCTTTTAGAGCACTCACATATAAGACACTCTGAACTTCTTGTCCTCTCCTCCCCTCTTCTTGGCAGCCCATGCTGACACATCACATACATGCAACCTCCAATGCTGAACAAGGCACTTACCTCACCTGAGACAGTTATGCTATTCATTTCAACAGAGGAAGCAGTAGCACGCTGCATTCCTTTGTGTAGAAGGATGTACCGTCTCCACTGAAATCATTCTAGTGCAGAGTTCCATGTGCGTACAACAGTGTTTGTGAATTTTATGTTCTTTCCCCCCCACTAAACAGCTATTTATTCAATGAAACTGTTTTCCTGGTTGTTTCCTACAGTATACAAATTAGTATCATTCATAACCCACATATTTATCCACAGAACAGAATGCATATAAAATACAACTTTTTAATCAATGCTTTCCAAAAAAAATTCTGTTTATTGATATTTCCCTATTAGGTGAAAGTTGGCAAATTCATAAATATAGTTTCCATTCTAACATAGTCCTTAGGTATCTTAAAAGTCACCACTAAGAATGTCATGAGAATATAAAATGGTGTAAAGTAAGGGACTTGAAAATTAGATTTTATAAGCCGTTCCTGTTTCAAGCTGACAGACAAACATTTCAGAATTACAGACGTTTGGTTAAGATAATGTTACCAGTTAACCCATAACAGAGCATAAAAAGCAGCTGTTGCTTTGGGGGGAAATGTTTAATAATACAGTCGATACATTTAGTATCAACCAGTAAAAGTGTACTGTAAAAATGTCCTGGATATTAAATTTACCTCTGATGAGTTTGGAGTTGTAAATATTTGGGGAACAGCCCAGCAAAGGTGGTCTCCTACACAAGCCTTGTTGAAATTAATGCAGAAGAATATGCAAAGCCTTCCTGCAGAGCTGCGGCCTTGCAATGCAGTGAGGTAGACAATAAAATATGAATTCTCCATTCATAAACACAGAGTTTTCTATCGTCCCATAATATTCTTAAAGAAAATGATAACATTACATACAAAATGAAATTGTTGATTAATGCTTCAACCTGTACAACTCAAATATAACATTTTTTAAAAAAAACCCAACATTAGACTTTTAAACAATTTGAGTGCATAAAATGTTCAGAACATTAAGAAAAACAGAAACGAATGTTGTTCCCCTCCATTTTTGCACTTCTCAGTCTGTTTAAATAAACAAATATTTACAGCTTCAATATGAACAACAGTGCATCCAAACCAAACAAAAAAAAATGTGCATTTTAATTTATTGCTTCTGGCCAAGGCTTTCCTTTATTATTAGCATCTTTATATTATTATTATCTTATTATTTATTATTACACCCATTATTCTTTCCCCCCAGCCATTTTGCAGCTCAATGAAACCAGATAGTCTGAAAAGCACTAAGATTTCTCTGGAGGGGAGGAAACCCTTAATGGATCTCAGGAATGCTCAGAAGTGCATTTTTTCATGTAAAGTCATCTCCATGGAAGCCTGGGAAGGAAGCCTATATTCAGTGACATGCTGTTTCAGCATAACATTTGCTTATACAGTAATATTGCAGCCCTTTGCAGAGGTGTGTGCCTGCCTCCCCCACCTTTTCTGAAGTTTATTAGCTACCTGGAGGCTTCCTTAAAATTAAAAGATGCTTCCAAGCCCATCTACACCCACCCTGTTTGTGCTGTGCATGTTTTGTAGCACTTGACTCTTTTCTCAGCTTTTCATTACTAGGATTGAAAGCCAAACCTCGCTGGTAATTACAACCTGCAGTCCTGCTTTCTGTGTGTGGGAGGGAGGGGCATTCGGGCTGTTTTCAGGCTGGTAATCTTGAAGGAGCACAGAAAGGAAAATAATTTTTTTTTAAAAAAACAAAGTGTTCTGGGCTTGCTCTCGCTCCCACCGCTTTCCTTAAAGGGAGTCTCGATTCTCAGATAAATTCTGGGAAGAAACTGACTGAAATGGATGCCTTTGGCCTTCTCTTTCCTGTGAGGACTCTCGGGGGCTCACCGCCTGTTTAACTGCTTTCCCTAGTCGTAATATGGGCCTGGGACTAGAGATGTAAAATTTCCGGAAATTTTGAAGTTCGGAAAAAAAACCCGTTTTTTTCCGGGGGGAAACGGAAATTTTCGGAAAAATTGAAAAAAATGCTATATTAGCATTTCTTTTTTTTTCTAGATTGAAAGTCATTCTGTTACTTTAGGAACATAAAATATGACTATGGACATTTTTACTTGGCATGAAATTATCACAACTAGCATATTAAAAATATAGTGTATCCAAACAATTATTACAAACAGAATACCCACCCACATGCAAAAACAAAACTGAAACCTTTTTATTGTCTTCTGACAATAGCACCTCCTAAAGGAAGAAATGCATCTTGTTCTTGCATTGGAGAGTTCAGTTTGTAACCTAGGACTTGCTTGTCCTCAGTGCACAGAAATTAGATCAATCTGATACCATATATATATATTTTAGAAATGATTTGGAAAATATTTGAACACCTTGTCTTAAAATATTTTATTCATCATGTTAAAATAAAACGTTCCATAATCATTTTTTTTCCCTTTTCTTTTTTCAATTTTTCCAATTTTTCGGAAAAAAATCGGTTTCCCCCCGAATTCTTCCGGGCCTTCACATCTCTACCTGGGACTAAACAGGTGCTTCTCCCCACCACCACCACCTTAAAATCATGGAGATAAAAACATGCAAATTCGGACCAGAAGATAAGCAAGCCTCCCTCTCACGCACACGTTATTGGCACCCGCATGTGAACACACCAATGGGGGGGGGGCACCTTCAGAACCCAGAGCCCAATGTTAGTTAGAGTGTATGTGATGTATATGGGGCATATTGAAAACCCAATAAAAAGATTTAAACAACAAAAGAACCCAGAGCCAGCGTCGCTTGAGAAAACAGCCCTTATAGTTGCCCTGCGCCCCTTCCCCCCATGCGCCTCGCTGTTCTCCTTCGGAGGCCCTGTCCTGGGGTGTGGGAAACAGAGAGTGGTTTCCCCTGCGATAGGGGCACTCTCATTTCTAAAGCCAGGGGACTCACCCTCTGGCAGAGAGCTGCCTTTCCTACCCGTCCCCCTCCCCGCCAGCTGCACCTTAGCTGGTTTATGAAAAAGCCTTCGCCACTCCCCCCCCCCCCCCCCTTTCCACTGCTCCACGTGCTTCAGCACATCCGCCTTTGCCTGGCGCAACAGACCCCCCCTTCCCATTACTTGCAAGCAGGGGTCACGAGACTTACCGCCAACCCACCCCCAGTTTGAACTAGTCTCCCTCAGCCGAAAAGAACGAGGAGTTTCGAAGTGCCTTGACACACGTCCTTGACACACACACACACACACCCTCCTATTTGGCGCCAAGCTCCTCGCTTTATTCTGCCAGAGGCTTCCTCGGTTTTGGCTTACTGAAGGCCGCCAGGTGGTCAACGAAAGCTTCTCCCAGGCCCTTAAAGCCCAAGCCTCCTGCTTTATTTTTATGGCTAGAGGACTACCCCTCTGGCAATACCCCCCAGGAGGAGGCGCCTGAACTCTCCACACCATTGAGCAACCTAGGGCCAGGGAAATGGTGCAAAGGCGCATTGGTGGCTAGCCCCCTTCGCTGACTGCCCCTCCCCGCACAGTACATGGAGCGCTTCCGGGGGGGTGGCGGTCTCTATCAAGCGCTCCAACCAGCGGCTTTCCCTGGGGGAGGCGCGCCTCCGCCACGTGCGCCCTTCCCTCGCTTCGCTCTCTCCCTGCCGGCGCCCCGAGCCCTCGACGAGTCCATCTTGCACGGTCTCCTCCCTGCCGCTTGTTGCTTTCGCTTTTCCCTTCCCCGCAGGTGGCGGGGGAGGGGGGGGGCGACAGACGCGGGCGGCGCTACCTGCAGCCGCAGGACTCCACCACCATATCCTCGTACTGCTTGTAGACGACATTGTTGCCGGCGTCCGTGTAGAGGATGCTGATGGGCGTCAGCTTGGTGGGCACGCAGCAGCTGGGCGGGGTGGAGCCCGGGTCCATGGAGTTCATGAGCGTCTGGATGATGGCATGGTTTGTGGGCTCCAGGTGCGAGCGCAAGGGGAAGTCGCACACGCCCTCGCAGTGGTAGGCCTCGTACTCCAGAGGGGCAATAATCCAGTCGTCCCAGCCCAGCTCCTTGAAATTCACGTGCAGGGCCTTTTTGCTGCAGCGCAGCCGGGCTTTCTTGCCGTGCCGCTTGCCGTGGCGGTTGTTGTAAGCCGTGCGCCTTTGGCGACGCGTCGTGAACCGCAGCCGGGCGGCGGGCTGCAAGTCCAGATGGGGCGCATGCGCGCTCTCTTCGCGTAATTCCGCGAAGAGGTTCTTCCGCCTCGATTTGGTGAAAACCACCAGCAGCGCTTTCTCCTGCTGGGCCCGCGCGCTTCGCCCCAGGCCCAGGCCGCGCAGGTCCAGTGCCTGCTGCTGGGGAGTTCGAGGCCCCTCAACGGCTCGCAGCTCCAAGCACAAGGGGCGGCGGTGTTGCTGCTGCTGCTGCTTCCAAGGCCGGTGGTGCAGCAAGGCCTGCCACACGTCAAACACTTCCCAGGTGCCCCCGGCCTGGCCCGGCGCCTCCCGCAAGTCCAGGGTCCTGGAGTCCAGAAGGCGGCTCGAGTAGCAGGCCGAGAGCTGCAAATGGGCCAGGCCTGTCTGAGCCTTGGAGAAATAATCGCCGGGGGCTCTCCGAAAGAGCCGCAGTTCAGCTCCCACCAGCTCCTCTTTGTCTGAGAGAGTCGATACATCAAACAAATATTTCTGTCTCCTTAAAGCGCTGGCCGAGAGATCGTCTGCAAGATAAAATGCATAATTGCAGTCAGTTTCACCTCTGGGGGGGGGACACTTCCATCTTTAAGAGCCGGCGGGGAAATGTGGGGGTTGCCCATGTGCATTGGAATGTTCTAGCAAGGCAAAGACACCCCCATGCATGAGGGAGGAAAACGTGTGTATTTCAAACACAAACTAGGTTTGTACTTAAATCCTGAAGGCATTAGATGGGAGGCCATAGGAACGATTGAAATCGATGTAACTGCAGTCTTCTTCCCTCGAAATCAATGGTTAAGCATCAATTAACTTAATGACTGTACATTACATTCATTAGGCTCAGGCTAGAATTTTTTCCCCCAAGTCTGCCTTCCCACATCTGTTGTTAACTCCTTTATTATCTCTATACCAACTTACTGCTATTTACATGTCTTACCTAATGTGTTATTCCAATCTTAGCTGTATTTATTGCTCAGTTACTTAGGCATCTTGACTCTAATTAGCTCTTTCTGGCAACTAACCTCCCTCCGTATGTAATATTTGAGGAAATCTGTTTCAATTAATCTGAAGGAGTGTACATACTAAGTCTCTCTATTCTCTCTTGTACCCAGAACTGAACTTTATTTGTCTTGTAGATGCTGCTGGACTCAAACCTCGCTCCCATATCTGTTTGTTAACTCTTGTATGGCTCCGTTCACATGGGCCGGAAAATGCGAGGGAAAGCGTGGCTGTTTGCTGGGCAAAATAACGCACGGTTGCACGAGCAGACGTCCAGTGGAGGTCCCGTGGTTAGGGGGGAGGTGCCGATCACAGGACAATCCTGCGGCACTGCAAAGAAGTGGGACAAAAGGGGTTGTGTTTTTTAAAAAAACTAAAGTGTGCGCATGCTCCGTTGGGTGCTTGTGCGCATCCGTGGAGACTTGGGGGGGGAACCTTTTTGCAAGGGGACATGGGTGGGTGCCGGAACTACCACCGAAAACGCGATCAGATGCCCGCCCATGCCCCGCGGTTTCCGGAAACTAGTACCTCGGAGGTACTACTTTTTTACAGCGCATCTTCGGAGTGAAGCCTCGGGTGAGCCACGGGAGCTCTACGCTTCCCAGATGTGGCGGTGAGATCGCGCCCGGAAAATCCGCCTATCTTCCGTCTCTCTAGTGTGCCTAATTCTCTGTGTGACCGCAGCCTATGTTAATTTTCTGCCATTCACAGATTTTTCTTACATCCAGTCTCCGGTATCTTGACTCTAAACGAACCTTCCTGACAACAACCCACACCCCATAAGTAATGGTTGAGGAGGTTCTGTTCCACTGTATCTGAGGAAATGTGCTTGCACATGAAAGTTTATACCACGAATAAAATTTTGTTGGTCTTAAAGGTGCCACTGGACTCAAGCTTTGTTCGGCTGCTTCAGACCAATACAGCTACCCCACCTGAATCAATACTAAACAGAATTACTGTTATGCTATGTAACCTAATTTATCCATGATGACAACGGTGGAGCTGTTGTCGTCACGGATAGATACAACATCCAGGAGGCTCAAAGACAACTTACAAATGCTGCTTTTTACAAACAACTATCCTCAGATCCCACCTAGGAATACAAAAAAGACCTAAACAAGATTATAAAGGAATTAACCCTATGCATACAGGAAAAAATCCTTTCAGATACACCATAGGAACCTCAACCAGATACCTTTTCTACCGAAAATACACAAACCTGGCAACCCAGGATGCCCCATTGTCTCAGACATAGGCACTCTCACCGTGGGGGTATCTGACTACATGGACCCTATGCCATTAATACTCCTAGTTATGTGTGCGACACCACAGATTTCTTGAGGAAAATACAAGCTTTGAATAGCCTTCCAGAGAATACTATGGCAGCCATGGATGTGGAATCTCTGTATACCAACATCCCACACAAAGTTGGATTACAAGCAGTAAGAAACATGGTTTCTGAGAACACCACAGCTGACCTTGCCACCAAACTCTGCTATTTTGTTCTCACCCACAACTACTTCAAATTTAGTAACAACCTGTACCTTTCGATTATTGGTACTGCCATGGGCACCAGCATGGCACCACAATATGCTTGGAGCAACACTTCCTAAAGTACCCACTCACACCTTTCCTATGCCTGTGATACATTGATGACATTTTTATTGTCTGGACACATGATAAAGAAGCCCTGGACATATTCCACCAGGCATTCAATGACTTTCACCCCACTATAAACCCAACAATGGACCAATCTATGCAAGAAATACATTTTCTAGACCCCACTGTACAAATTCATAATGAACACATAGACACCACCTTATGATCCACATGCATCCAGCTACCATCCTAAACATACCATACACTTTTATTGTCTACAGCAAGGTTCTACACTACAACTGCATCTGTTCCAGTTCTACAGAAAAAGTTTTTCACCTGAGGGATCTACAACAAACCTCTTTGGAACTAAAGTATCCAGCTGATGAAGTCAAGAAACAGATTAACAAAGCCAGAATGATACCCAGAGAAAGCCTATTAGAAGACAGGCCTAAAAGAGACAATAACACCACCACTAGTAGTCATATACAGTTCTCAACTCAAAACAGTTCAACGTCATTGATGACTTACAACCTCTACTGAATAATGGCAGTTCTCTTTCACAAGCACGGTGGGGGGGGCAGACTTTTTCTTGCACATGGACAGACCCCCAATCTTAACTCCCCACCCACAATAATATAACCTCTAACTTTAACATGGACACTGGTGCCAGAGCTTGCAATAAACCCAGATGCCAATTTTGCTGCCACATACACCCAGACAACACGATCACTGAACTTAACATCAACTACGCCATCTCAGTCTTATTCACTTGCTCATCTTCTAACATTGTATATGTCGTCAGATGCCAACAATGCCCTTCCAATCTCTACATAGGTCAAACGCTATGCCAAAGGATAAATGGAACCAAATCTGGGATTAAGAATCACAAGTCTGAAAAACCTGTAGGGGAACACTGCAGCCTTCCAGGACATTCAGTGGGTGACCTCAAAGTAGCGGTTTTATTGTAAAGGAACTTCAGAAACAGACTGGGAAAGGAAATTGCTGAATTTCAAGGTATCACAACACCTGGAACACACACACCCCCAACTGAACAGGGATATTGATTTCTTATCTCACTACATATGCTAATCTCATTCAGTCTTTACATCTGTATTCTCACCAAGAAGGGACATACATCCTCTTTGTTGTATTGTATTTCTTATTTGGAAGAGTAGAGTGGAATAGTGATTGTAATGTAATGCAATGAGTAGTAGAATGTAATGTGATTTGGAATGGTGGATTGGAATGCATTTCTCTAGTCTGGTGACAGAGGAGACATAACACTGCATAACCATTCATCCCATCTCGAAGAAAAGTATGCTGTTAGTTACCTCCATGCTTGAGAGGAGATGGATAGAGCATAACAACAGGGTCTCGGTTAATTACTCTCAGCATTCCACTATTAAGCGTACATTTACACGTCAGTCTCCAGTGTTGATATATTTATTTATTTCACTCTATTTCCCCCTGGAATTAAATCCAAACAAATGGTGACCATATAAACTAAGCTTGTTATTCCTGTTTGGTCCTTGGTCCTTGCATCTGCTAAATATCTTCATTATGTTGTATGCTAATTTGCTGCTCACCTTCTGCCCATATGCATGGACTGGTAACTTCCATTTCAATGTATCTGAAGAAGTGTGCATACACAACAAAAGTTTATATCTTGAATAAAACTTTGTTGGTCTTAAAGGTTCAACTGAACTTGAATTTTGTTCTACTATTTAACCTTCGTTTATGATTGCACTATTGTCTTTTCAGGATTGCATGTATTCCTCCACCCTGGCGTGGCTACCGGGTGGGGGACTGTTACATGGGGGTACAATAATTCCCAGCTGAACTTCGACCCCTCCCAAAATGTCACGAAAGTTAAATGATTACCGAGAACAGTGTGTTGAAGATCAGTTAACCGGCTATTATCCGTTATCTTTAAAAAAAATAGAAGATTGTGTACGTGTGGGTTGAGGGGGCTTATAGTCTCAGTGAGAGGAATCTGGATTTCTTTTTTTGACACGTTTCGTGTAGGAAAGCGAAGGCGGCGAAAAGCAAACCAGATTCTCTCTTCCACCCCCAACTTGAGCTGCTTTCCAATAAAAAAAAGAGGTTTACAAGCCAGCAAATACGAAAATTCCCCGAGCCTCTGGGTTTCCCCCCAAGAGGCAGTAAAAGTCTGTATATATTTCGACAGTAAAAGTGTCACCACGAGCCCGCGCCCGCGAGCTCCAGCGCCGCAGCTCCAGCTGAGAAAGGGCGACGGAGCCGGTTACAGCTCGGAGGCCGCCGCTTTATGGACCGCAAAGGTCACCGGTGGGATTCCTCATCAGCGGGCCGCGCAAACGGAGAGGTCTGCCCCAAAGGTCCTGGGAAGCCTCGCGGGGCGAGGACTGGTGGGAGGGGAGGGGGCTCTTCGAGCTCTGGGTTGGAAAATACCCGGAGATTTTCGGTGAGGAAGGCGGGGCTTGTGGAAGGGAGGGGGTCTTCACTGGGATGCGATGCCACAGAGTTCACCTTCCAAAGTCCCCCCATTTTTCCCAGACGAACCGATCTCTCCCTGGAGATCAGTTGTGATCCCGGGAGATCTCCAGCCAACACCTGGAGGTTGGCAATCCTGCCTCCGAACTCACTTCCAGTTGGCTGCCAATAGGCACAAATAGGCCCCCGCCCCCCCCGGCCCGTCCGCCCGAAACCACCATTCTGCCAGTCGGACTGCGTTGGCCCGTGGTCGCCATCCATGGACGCAATTCGCTCCTGGCGCCTGAAAGGACGCGCGTAGCAGAGAATCCTGTACAGCAGAGGAAGAAGCAGGTGAGCTGGAAGAATAAGCTGTAGCACAGTCCTTTCGACGAGCAGGTCTGCTCTACCTGGTTATCAAGATCGACCCCATTACCTCAAAACACCAAGCTTAGTTCCGAGTTCCCTAGAGCGCTTCCTCAAGTTGGATGTTGAGTGCAAAATCGGAGGGGGGGGGGGAGAAACGAAATTCTGGTTCAGCTGGAGGCCAGTGGCAACGAAATTCTGGTTCAGCTGCAGGCCAGTGGCTGCTGCACCCTTTTCTGGATTATCTTCGGCCTGCCTGCTGGGGGGTGGAGGGAGGGCTTCCTTCTCCCTTTGCCTTTGCGCCCAACAGCCAGTCTGGTGACGATGGGCTTTCACACACAGTGAAAAATGCAATTTCAGTCCACTTTGCAACTGGTTTTTACCGTGTGAGCTGGCAAAATGCACTTGCAAAACATTGCTAAAAGCGCGTTGGAAGTGGACTGAAAGTGTGTGGAAGCTTGTGTGAAAGTAGTCCCAGCGCACCCGTTGTTTCTGGGATCCTCCCCCCCGGACAACAGGACTACCTAGATATCTTTGCCACGAGTCTGTAATCAATATGTGTGCCGCAGCCGGAGTGCGGTCTCTCCTAGCCTCTCCTTGTTGTATTTTTACTGAGAAAATCTCCCCACTGGGTCCAATGACTTTTATTTCCCAGTGTTGTGGCCACCCACAGTTAGTGTTCACGGTAAAAAGCAGGTGGCTCCCAGTCCACAGCCCTCCTGGCACTCGAGGCCTCTGTTTTGCCCTGAATGGAGGATCCGTATCAGAAACCCTGTGCTAAAGGGGGGGGGGCAGTTGTGGCAGCTGCTCCCTTCGTGAGTCTGCCACGGGTCGGCCATCCCCAGCTCAACGTATAAATAGAGATGTAGCTGGGACAAGGAACAGAAGTCCGCACAAGAGGATTTCGCTTGGGATCATCTCACGGCTCCCGCCAGTAGCCTGCCTGCCTGCCTGCGCCTCCTCTTCCCAGAAGCTCTGACGTCAGTCCCCGCTCCACCGAGGTCCTACTGAGCCAATACCCCGTATATCTAGGGGGTATTGACTAAGCCGGATGCCTCCTCCCCACCAAGCACCGCCACCGATCTTTGAGCACCAGATAGGCTTTGCCCCGCTTCACTTTTGGTAATTTGTTTTACTGTAGCCCTATGCCGCCTCGATGGAGATCCAAAGCGGCCGCTCACATCATTCCGCTCTCCTTCGCTTTCCCTCCGCAACAACCCTGTGAGCTGGCAGTACGCTGGCAGTAGGGGACTGGCCTGGCCCAAGGTCACCCGGCGAGCTTCCGCGGCAGTCAGGATTCGAAAAGCCGGGATTTATTTATTTAGGTTACGATTTATACCCCGCCCTGCCCCCACCGGATCCTAGCCGGACACTTGAACCGCTACGCCACTCTGACCAGAGACTGAACCAGGCAAAAAGTTTGCGCATGCCGCACTGGCAAGCGGGGTGCCAGTGCCGCCCCCACTTTCTTCGCAAACATCCCTTGTATGGCCAAGGAGCCGGTGGGAGGATGCCTTGCTGCAAACCGAGGGTGAGAGCCGGACTGGGTGCGATGCAGTCTCCCAGGGACAGGCAATGATCGCGGGGGGTGCCGGGCGTCTTTGGGGATGCCACTTCCCGACCACCACCACCCCCCGCCCTCGGAATGGGGACTGCTTCCCAGTGAATGAGTCCGGGATCGGGGTGCAAAGCTGCGGATGCCTGGGGGACCGTTAGGAAGAAGGGTCAGCCGCGCCAGGTTGTGCGCAATCTGGAGGGAACCCCGCAACCCTCCAGCAGCTGCGGGCGGCGGCTAGGGGGGCGATCCTCAGCCAGTGCGGATGGACCGATAGCTCCCCTAGTAATCTCACCCGGACGCGACGAGGGAGGGACCTCGGAAATGATGACGTCTCTAGCAATGACGTCGTCATTTCTGACCCTCTTTCCCAAGCGCTGGGCCTGGGCACCTGGGGCAGGGCTGTCTTCCCGGGCAGTTCGCCGGAGGCTGCCCTTCTACACCTTTGGTCAGGGATGACTCGAAAGAGGGAACTGGGGAGGCTGGCGGGGGTGTCTCCTCTTTTAACCCTTTGACTGCCTGAGGGGGGCAGCAGAGCGTACCTCTGGCACTCTGGATCGCGTCGCCCGCTTCTCCTGCTCCTAGAATCAAGGCGCGGCAGGCAGAAATTCGACAGGAGAAGCTGCGGTGCAATCCTGTGCAGAGGTACCCCAGTCTAAGCCCGTTAATTTCAGTAGGTCGGCGCCTGCCTCGCTTGTGCAGTGTATACCTGCCTTGCGGAGACCTTGCCATTTAAAAGGAAGAGATTAAACCGGAGCAAAACGAATCTCGCCTTCTGGAGAGCCACCGCGGTTGTGGGCTACTAGAGGACATTCGTCATGAGCCTCTGCCGGATCCTCCCCCAGCGAAAGAAAGAGCGCCGGATGCTTGCAATGATTTCTTCGCACTCGAAGTTATTTTCCATAGAGGAGTCTGCTGAGGTTTCCTGCAGGAGAGGGGGGGGGCGCGGCTCTGCGCTGAGCAACATGGAACTCCCGCCGGGGCTCGCCAAAGGCCTCTGGAGCGAGTGACGCAACGGCGATGACGCAGAGAGGAGGACGTGGTCTAAGAGCCCCCAAGGCCTTCCAGGTCTAGCGCTGTGGAGTGATCTCTGTTTGGGACGGAGACGGAGAAGTCCACCGACCATCCGGGAGTTCCGTGCTAGATGTTGGATTCTCTGGTTTTGATACATTCAGGAATCCACTATCAACGTAGCAGAATGCGCCAGGTTACCACACAGCTAAGTTTGGGTGCTGAGTGTGCTAGCAAGCTTACAAAGTTACAGCCACTTCCGCGCTGTCATTTTTGTCACTCGTTTGTCCCTGTTGCTTCGGGGGTTTTCCTCCCAACGTGTTTTGCTCTCTCTAGTAGTCCCAAGAGGGAGCAAAAGGAAAGGGGGGGGGGGTTTTGCAAAGCAATAGGGACAAACGAGTTACAAAAATGTCAAGAGAGCCAGTAGTCAGATTTACAAAACTAATAAGAGTTCTTTATGGAACTCCATTCTGGACAGGATAGATAGGAGATAGGAACTGCGTCTAAACTAACGAATAGGATGAACGTGGATGCAGGGGAAACGTGCCCTGCACCCATGGTTCCTTCTCTGGCAGAGAAAAGTGTGTGTGTGCGGGAGAGAGAGAGGTGTCAAGCCGGAAAGAAGGAAACATGCCCCTAAGAACAGCATTCTACTTCAAAGGGTTAGGATCAGATAACAGGAAGGAAAGGATGCTCTGTGTGTCCTCCTGACCCCTCTGTCTGACTAAATCTACGGTAACCTCCCGAAGTCTGAGGCAGGAGACAGCACAATGAGTACACAGACCTTCATTTTTCCAGCATCGGAAAGGAGGGATAGCAATGCAAGTCAGGCAGAATCCTAGAGCTGGAAGGGACCTCCAGGGTCATCTAGTCCAAGATGTGCAGGAGCGGGCCGCAGAGACCCTCCTCTGCTAAGAAGCCGGGTGTGTCACCTGAGCCGCACTGCTTCTCGGCCTGGCCTACCTCCCAGGTTTGTTGTTGGGGTGCTACGGCGACCGGGAGAGCCAGGCAGGCCGCTGTGAGCCCCCCGACGGAAGGGCGAGATCCAAGACCGATAGCTGTTCTCCTTACCAGGGATAACCTCGGGCAGCCTCGCTGGAGGCTCGCTGCCGCTGGCTCCCTTCTTGACCGACGGGTGGCCCCTTCATCCGAAACACACTGGGTCTGAGACCGGCTTTAGAGGAAGCGGCTCCCGAGTCAATGTACTGAGGAGAGGACCCGGAATACCGTCTACTCGGGGGTGAAACAGCGACCAACAGAGTCCAAGGAGCACAGGCTTGCGGGGCAGATCTCTGCTAATCCGAAACAGTCCCGTTGAGTCCCACGTCCTTTTCCTGACCGGTGGGTCCCGTAGGCGTTTAAAGTGACCCTTCCTCTTAATACGCCTGCCTGCTGCTGCGATCCTAAACCAGCCTTGCTGGACTCTCGGTGTGAGTCCCTCCGGAGCAGGCTCAGATCTTCTTCCCAGTGGAACCCCACACATCCCTCAAGTCGCTTTCATGGTGCCCGGCTCCTCTGCAACGGCACTGAGTGGCAAAGAGTTCCACCGGCTGAGAGGACGCCGGGAGAGGGGCTGTGGCTCTGTGGTGGGTGGCAGAGGGCATCTGCTGAAGGTCCCAGGTCCAATCCCTGGCCTCTCCAGTTCAGAGGATCAGGTAGCAGGGGTGCCAAAGGCCTCCGCCTGAAGACCATGGAGAGCGGCTGCCAGGCTCCGAGCAAACAGTACCGACCTTAGCGGACCAAGGTGCTGAGTCAGGATAAGGCGGCAGCAGCAGCTTCAGGTGCCCACCTTCTGCCCTTCCTCCAGCTCGCCCGTCGCACCCCCGTCGTGACTCCGCCCCCTTCCGCACCTTTGGCCACGCCCCCTCTTTGAAGAAACAAGCATGGCATTCAATAACTCACCGGCATGTGTGGAAGCGCGGCCTTTCTTTTAAGAAATCGGGCATTGCCTACATCAAGGGTCCCCAGCCTTTTCTGTGCCCGTGGGCACGGGGTGGTGGCAGCCATTAGAAAATGGCTGCCACGGGAAGCAAACCCCCATAACACAGAGTGCAGCGTGGAGAAGAGGGGCAATGAAAGCACACACTGGGCAAAGAGGGATGATGAGAGAGAATAAGGCAAACCCTGCGGTGGCAGCCGCCACGAAAACAAAATGTTATTTTAATCAATCTGTCTTGTGTATCAGATCTTGTTGGAATTGACTAGTTGCTTACATTTCGGCCATTACAGAGTTAACCGATACTGTTAGAGGTAGTTAGTACACAGGACATTAGGAAGTGTAAACTTGTGACCACTTAGAGCAGAGATGAGTTTGTGTGGGGAAAGTTTGTGGGAATTGTCTTTCTAATCTTGTAACCTTTCTATTGGTCAGTCAGCATCATGTTTTGTTGGGTGATAGTGAGATATTGGGGGAAAAAATGGTATTTTGCAGAGATAAGATAGTCCAGCAGAGCCAGAGTGAAATAATTCAGACTGAGAGTCCATGTGTGATTAAAATATAAAGTTTTTACTAAATTCTAGCATGGGAAGGGTAACTGGGATGAAAATAACAACAGAGCTAAATCGGCTACATCCTTACTCTACAAAGACAAAACTAGAAGAGAGAGATTATGGCCGCTCTTCTTCTTCTTCAGAACACCAAACAAAGATGGGAAGAGAAGCCATAAAATGGTAATATACCTTGACACTTTAGTCCCAATCAAATTCCTAGACCATGGAGAACATTCCCAGGCATTCTACAGCGAAAGAACATTGGTTACATGAGAAACATGTGACTTCCTGTGAGTAACATAAACAAACATTTAACCCCAGATATACTGAGTGTTTTCAACTTGTAATACCCAACATGTTTGTAGGAAATGCTTTGGTCTAGTATGCATTTACAGTAGCGAGTCAGAAATGCTGCTGGGCAAGAGCTCTACCTGGCCCTGCCCAATTTCTAAAAGCGCTCGGTGGGCACCATATTGGGGACCCCTGGCCTGCAACATAACTTGTAAGCCTTATGCAAAGAGACAGACCCGGGTGGGCAGCCGTGTCCTGAAGCAGCAGAACAAAGTTGGAGTACAGGGGCAAGAAGAAGAGGAGGAAGAGGAGGAGGAGGAGATTGGATTTATACCCCGCCCTTCACTACCCAATGGAGTCTCAGAGCTGCTTTCAAACTCCTTTCCCTTCCCCACATCAGACACCCTGTGAGGTAGGTGGGGCTGAGAGAGCTTTTGACAGGAACTGCTCTTTTTCAAGAACAGCTCTTATCAGAGCTACGGCTTGTCCAAGGTCATCCAGCCAGGTGGAAGTGGAGGAGTGGGGAATCAAACCCGGTTCTCCCAGGTTAGACTCCGCGCACTTAACCACTACACCAAACTGGCTCTCAGACCAACAGAGTTGTATTCAAGGTATGAACTTTTGTGTGCAGGTACACTTCCTCAGACACAATGAAATGGAAATCACCAGTCCCTACACATAGTTAGAAGCTTGTTATTCCAATTTGGACCTTGCATCTGTTAAACATCATTATGCTGTATGCTAATTTTCTGCTCACCCTCTACCTATATGTATGGACTGGTAATTTCCATTTCATTGTCCCTGAAGAAGCAGCCCTGGGTGGGTCCCAACCAATGTTCCCTCTAAGCTGTGTCTTGTGAGCAAAAATTCTACTTTGTGAGCGACTGGTGTAAAAGTTGTGAGCGAGCGCTTTGACTACTGCATACATTAGCTTGCTCTGGAGCCCTCCTTCCTGAGCTAAGACAAAAATGTGTGAGCCAGAAGCTAAAAGGCTGTGAGCTAGCTCACACTAACTCAGCTTAGAGGGAACAATGGTCCCAACCCCGATGTCATCGCCTAGCTAAACCCTTCATTCTCTCAAACTGTCCTGAAAATCGAGCAACTGTATGTCTAAATTACTATACGCCACCTGTCGAGCAATGCAGTCCTCTTGCCCACTGAAACTAGGGGGCTTAGACTGGAGTAACTCTGCCAAGAATCGCGCTGAAGCCCCCCTTGAACGGAACCGGACACAACTGGACAGTCTGGGCTTCCTCATCTGTTCTTCCCATTTGCCAGATTCACAGCTTCCTTCCTTCCTCCCTCCTCTGCCTCCTCTTTGGCACTTCTGGGACAATGAACCAACCCCCGCCCTGACCTTTCCCCTGGAGGCCAGCGCAGCTCCCCCCACCCCTCCACGAACAGAACATACTGAATATCGGGACTGCCTATTTTCTGCGATCCAACCGACTTCCAGGAAGAATTTGGACCCGCTGCCCGCAGCTGCGAGCCATAATCCGGGTGTGAGAGAGTGCCTGGTTTCTCTTGAGCCATCCTCAGCCCTCTGCCGTGGTGGAAAACATTCTTCAGGTCCAATTTTCTGAGGCTCCCTGTGGCTTCTGTTCGGCTCTCGCCTTGAGAACCCTCCAGCAGAAGCCCCTGAGCTTTTGGCTTCTGCAGGCCCCTTGGGAATTGGGGCACTGAGCGGCGGGCGCAGCCACGACGCGGCTACCGCAGCAAGCAGACGCACACAGAGAGAAAGCCCAAAGGCAGGGGTCAAGAGGAGTGATTTAAAAGAAAAAAATACCGAAGGGAAGGGAAGAGACACTGTGATAACAGCAGCGGCTGCTGAAACCACTTTGTTTTCATCTGCACGACCGATCAGATCTCCAGGGGCCAACCAGAAGCCCTGCTGGGCCGGCCCCCAGCTGGCCACGCCCACTTGCAAAAAACACCGCTCCAGGAAGGGTGTCAACTGGCGCCCACGGGCGCCACCTTGGGGAACCCTGCCCCGCAGCGGTGCCTTGACAGCGCTTTCCACCCCCACCTGAGGCTGCCGGCCCCGAAGCTCTCCCAGGGGCCACCCATCACCTTCGAAATCGGTTGCATTTATGGGTCCTTTTGGCTGCAACCAGGTACGGCCAGAGCCTGTTTTCTCGGATAAAATAGTTCAGCGGGGTCATCACCGGACTGCAGCCTTACTAAGGAGCCAGTCGGGTTGTCCTTTCTGGGACTCACTTCTGGGCAAAGTGGCACCCTCTCTGTCTTCAATAGACTTTCTTCCCAGCCCTTTCAGTTCCCGGGAAAGCAGGAGGCGCATCAGCAACTCGAGACAGCTCCCAAGTGCTCGCCTGGTGCAGTGGTTAGAAGGTTGGGAGACCCGGGTTCAAATCCCGCCTGGCCACGGGACAATTATTCTCTCAACCTCACCTACCTGGCAAGGTTGTTGCCATGAGAAAAACGGAGGAGGGGAGTACCGGCCGGAGCTCCTTAGCGAGGAAGGGCTGGGCTGTAACCCTGCGCTCAAAGCACAGCGCGTTCACACCTGCTAAACAACCCACTTTCAATCCGCTTGTTTGCAAGTGGCTTTGGCCGTTGCAGGCGGTGGTTGCCAAGTGCATTGGAAGTGGGCGTGTGTGGAAGTGCCATTAAACCTGCCCCTCCCCGCATGGCCTCTCTCGGCCACTTCCAGGGTGATTTTTTCCCCTTTCGCCTCGCTTCCCGCTGGTTCCCGACTCCAGGCAGGACGGAGAGGCGGCCGTCCCTTGCGAAACAACCCGGAGCAAGCGCCTCTGGAAGAAGGACGCTCCCACCGAGGCCAGCAGGGCACCACTGGTCTGCCAGCCCCCCCCCC